CACATACAGGCTTGAAATTAGGACAGTTAGATATAGTCCGGCAGTTACTTAATCCAAATAATAATAATAGTGAAGTCAACAGTCCTTTTGAGAGGCATATAAAGTACAGTCAGACATCAAGATATAGAAACCGTATTCTCACCGGAATATCAATAAGTTTTGTCTCAAAAATTGTGAACCAATTAAGGAATCGATTCTTGTATATTGCATTCAACTAACAATACTATAAAGKAATTCACTACTACTACTATATATGGCTATAAATAGCATAAATATATATATATATATATATAATATACTATATTTATTTATTAAATAATATTATACAACTATAATATTGTTATTGTTGTTGTATAATACAAGTGGAAACCGAGATTTCCACTCATCAGACAATCAATAAAATCGATAAAATTAACTTTTCCTTACTATACATATACTGTACAATACAAACACATATATAAGCATACATACACATCAATTGTATAGAAAATCCTATACATATGAATACCCACTTGTATTGCATTTCTCATTAACTTTATGTTCAATTTCTCCAAATAAATATTCCCATTTATACACCATATATATGACTCATAGAGATAAGTGGTTTCTCAATATAATTGTATGTCTTTACTAATACTTATGGCTCATTTCATCGATGTTTATAATGTACTTCAAACAAACAGTCACACACACACACACACACACACACATACATACATACACTGGTTTTTCATACATACATACACCACATTTTTATGTAAATTTAATAGGTTTGAATCAATACACTACTATATATATTTCAAATCTATAAAATGCTAAATATAGAAAATGATAAATTATTTGACATGTGTTTCAAAAAAGTTGAATTAATTTTCAAAGTACAAATCCTTATGATTTGAATTTCATATAAATCAAAAACTAATCAATATAATTAAATAATTATATTTTGAAAAAAATAAGTAATATAAGTTGTAATAAAAAAATAATATCAAATATTTTTAAAACACTTACTTATTTAAAAATAATATAAAAATTAATTTATTGTTAAAATTGATGTATTTGTTAACGTCATTTATGTTATATAATATTGAATCATTATAAAATAAAAGTAATGCAAGTGTTGTGTAAATGTTGTGTAAGTGTTGTGTAAGTGCTTTACAAGTGTTGTAACAGTAGTTATCTTTTTGTTTACATTTGTGGATCAAATCTTCTATTTTCACAATCAAAATGTCTTTGACAACTGGATTTGCTGACAATGAAATCAAATTTCGAAAATTTGTGAGATTTCGGCCCTAAAGGAATCGTGTGCTCGGATAATTAAATCTCTTGGTAAGTAAAAACAAATTTATTATTATTTATATTAACAAAAAATTTATATAAGTAAATCCACTTATTACCGCTGGTTAAAAATGGACGACGATGACATACCTCTCTTCAAACCTGTCACTTCAGGTCGTCCAAGAATTACAACCATTGAAGATGACGACATGATTGCTGAAATGGCTCTCGAAAAGCGCTTCGAACCACTAACTAAATGGAGAAAATATGAGCCATTAATAACAAACGAAAGGATTGCCAACGCTTCTGATGACACTATATACCGAAGACTAAATGAAAAAGGTATTGTATTTTATATCTTATTTTATTTTAAATTAATAATTTATTTTAAGGTATACGAAAATGTGTGGCAGCAATAAGACAAAAATTGACAGAAAGACACATGCATTTACGTATGCAATATGCCACTAATTTCATTGAGTGGACATTTGAAGACTGGAGTCGTGTCATCTTCATTGATGAATTTGGAGTTGACACCAGTGACAATGGAAAAGTTTATGTCTATCGACTTCGTGGTCAAAGATATGCCAAACAAAACATTACTGAGACTACTCGTAACACAAGACAAACATTCACTTTCATTGCTTCGTAAGTATTAATAATATTAATGTTAACTTATATTAACAATTTTTTAGTTTCTCATTTCATGGATTGGGTCCAATCAAAAGAGTTGACCGCTTCAACAAAGAGGAATATGTTGATTATCTTCAAGAGAATCTTCTCCCTTATATCAACAATCACTATGATGACGGAAACTTTTTGTTGCTTCACGACAATCATCCAGTGCACAATAGCAATTTTGTGAAAGATTGGATCCGTGAAAGTGGTTTGGGTAGTCCTGAAGATTTAGTCATTCCACACCCTCCTTGTTCACCAGGTAAATAAAATAACTCTGATACATTAATTAATTTTTTATAACATTAGATTTGAATCCAATTGAACACGTGGGCGGTATGTTAAAACATATGGTTCGGGCAGAAAAGCCAAGAGTATGCAGTGCAAATGAACTTTGGGATGCCGTGATGAGTGCTCATCTGAGTTTATCAGAAAATAGAGAGTATTTTATTCGATTGATTAATTCAATGCCAAATCGTTTGAATGCTGTCCTTCAAAACGATGGTGGACATACAAAATATTAAATAAATTTTAATTAATATTTGATAAAATTGTTTAAAAAATCTTTATTTTTTGTAATTTACTAAATTATAAAATTATTTTCTGAAAAATGATAATAATAAATATTTGATATTATTTTTTATTGCAACTTATATTACTTATTTTTTCAAAATATAATTAATTAATTATATTGATTAGTTTTTGATTTATATGACATACAAATCATAAGAATTTGTACTTTGAAAATTAATTACAACTTAATTTAAACTTTTTAAGAAAAACGCTGAAACACGTGTCAAATAATTTATCATTTTCTATATTTAGGATTTTATAGATTTGAAATATATATAGTAGTTTTTGAGATATATTCATTTTAACCCTATTAAATTTACATAAAAACTTGTTTAACTATTTTGTACGTGACAAGAAACCATAGTTGTAGTTTTAATATCTTTATTGTAGATATAACTGTTAGGGAGATATTGATGAAAAACCAGTCTCACCTATTTTGCGATTGATTTTATATACATACATACACCACATAGAGGTTTGACAAACACTTAAGAGAATAGATGTAAATATTCTGGAATTGATACCAATAAAGTTAAGAATATATTTATTTAGTTTAATTATAATTCATATTTACTATAAGAATATTCCAATAATATAAATATAATTTCTTATTTTCCARAATTGTAAGTAAAARTGCTAAATGTGTGCCTTWAAAAAATTATATTTTATATTATAGTCTCAGACAATCTATCTTAGACTAAGATATRCCACTTATTTGTCGTCCGAAATAATTACTATCTATTTAAATGTCAAGAATAGTATTMTTAAATTARTAACAAATATATTCGTCTATWTAATRTGTTTACATAATTTGTTGATTTTTGTTATTAATATATTCAATATAATKTATGTATACTTTATATTAATATATTTGTACGAAAAATTACTCGTTATCTATTGATTTTTTGTTATATAACAAACTTTATATACATTATATGTAAGACGATTACTATTGAATAGTTTATTAGATTTATTTTTCTTTGCAATTCTTGTGGTGCCCTCAAGATATCCGCCATATATTAGCCACACTTGAAAAAGTAAAACACACAGTAATATAGTTATACATTATTATTATTATCAATGAGTTACTCTTTTTGGTCCATAGGGTTAAACAATTAGATATACAAAATATATATATTATATATATCCCAATAATCCAATATGTGATGGTAAACAATATAATATAATTTAGTTTGAAACTTTTTTTTTGTAAAAAACAATATATGTTTACGATAATACAATATTAAGTTATTGAAAATACTGTATATCTTATTTATTAAGTAAATAATTTATATATATATTTATATACAGTAATATACAGTACCAAAATAGTATAGTATTTATATAGCTAAATGTAATCTATCTTGGTTGCACTAGTATGAAAATATTGTTGTACACATACATATATACACACATCTATCATATTATATCAAAAAATAACTGATACCCTAAAAATATAATTTTCAATGTTTTCAAATACACTATCAACCAATAAATATTTGGGTCATTGATTTAAGCCATTGAATGTCGATTTATGGTTTCTCATGTCTTCAAATGTCTTACATTGTATACCACATTATATATATATAACTAATACTATGTTTGTCTGCATATCTATAATATGTTTGGTGTTTATCACTCACCGCAAAACAACAGACACATTAGTGTTAGATATATATATATAGCTTGTCTTTTGGGAACGTAGCACAAAGAAAACTAGACGTAATTTATGTAAATAAAAAATTAATTTTTTAAATATAGTCCCCTCCTAATTCGATGCATAGCTCCATTCGGGATCTCCACATCTCGAAAGCTTTTTTATAGCGATCTTCAGAAATGGAGTGAAAATACTCCATCACCGCGCTGTCCAACTCTTCCTCTGTCTTAAATGCTTGTCCGCGAAGAAAATGCTTCAGACCACTAAACAACCAAAAGTCACACATTGTAAGGTCGGGAGAATATACGGTACAGTCTTGACATTATTTTTGGCAAAAACTCTTGTCAGTTTTGCGGTATGAACTCTGCTGTTGTCGTGGTGCATATTTTAGCAGATCCCTCAATGACTTTAGGAAGACATTGTGTGGTGTACCACAAAGCCGTGGCTGTCTTCTGTCCGCATAATTTTAAATATAATATTGAAAAATACGGCGTACATAACTTTTCCAATTGTTTTATCAATATTGACAATATCGGGCGGTACCTCATCTTCAAACACAAATATCTTTGCTTCACGTGACAATTTTGGCTCATAATAGTGAACATATGTTTCATCACCTGTAGTGATCTTATCAATTAAAACATGTCCCTTATTCTTCCACATCTTTAGATTTTCTCGGCAGATGTTCACACGTTGTTGTTTTTGTTCATCCGATAGAAAGTGAGGAACAAACCGACATAAACGCTTCCGTACGCCAATCAAATCAGTGCATATTTTTTGAAGTGTTGTGCGATGAATGCCTGACTTTTCCTCTAACTCACGGTATGTATATATATATAACAGCGGCCGCATTTTCAGGGGTCGATACAGTAACTTCCGGACCTTTTCTTTCGCCATCTTTGAGTGACTGTACACCGAGTTTGAAATGTCGGATCCATTTGGTGATTGTACTGTAAGCAGGGCTATTATTGCCCAACCTGTCCATCATCCGACGATGAATTTCGTTGGGGTCTTGTGTGGACAAAAACTCATAATAAATTATGACACGTTTGTGTTCCTCCGATAACTCCATTGGTATCACCGAAAAACTTCTGACCAGACCTCTTTAAATGGTTATATCTTATACACGACTAGAGATAATTAGATGAAAATCACAGGTTAAGGGTTTGATATATATATATATATATATATATAACAAGCTGTATATTATATATAACAGTCATTGATATTACTTTTTAAGGCATTAGAGGTCTTCATATCTCAAGACATATCAATATTATGATATAAGGAAACCGATTGATCGATTGATCTCTTTTTTTTGTTTCAAACTTAAGACTCTCAAACTCTTCATAAAGAGTATACAATAAGCATGTGATTTTTAAGAACATTTATTTACAAATATATATTATAAAATATACAGTAGTAAAATAATTATGAATACATAAAAAAATATAATAAAGTTATTTTAAATGATAATTATAATAAAAATTAGATGCAAATATTTCCTATAAAATGTTTATATATTCCCCACACACACAACATATATAAAATACTATACAAGTAAAACACACACAAAAAACAGTGAAACTGTTATTTAGTGGGTTTTTCTTTGAAACTGTTTTTATTGTTATTTATATGATAAAAAAATATCTTAAAATGTTGTGTTTTTATATATATATAGAGTATATATATATATATTTTCTCGACTCATAATGTTTGTGAGTGATATATAAAATATTGTAGCAATTTATTATGTTTTCTATTATATATGTTATTTTTTAAAAATAACAGTAGATTTAATTTTTAAGGTCTATACAATAAAAACAATAATATTTTATAAATTATTAATTTTATTGTTGTTGGTTGTAATCAACAAAATTAATTTTTTTATAGTTGTGTTTTATCGGACATATAGCCCCTGTATATTAGTAAAAATGTTATTATATGAATAGTATAGCAAATAATACATAAATTTATACAATACTTTATATGCCTAATATTTAATGAATAATTTAAAAAGTATTGTACAATATTTTTATGTGTTTAGTAATTTATGCAAAGATCTGAATAATTAATAATTTATAAACAAAAACWAGTAAAACCAATTTAATGTMATAAATAAAAGCTGTATTTAATTAATAGGTATTATGTATTTAAATCATTTTTATATGCAATTTATATCAACAATTGCTGTCATAATAAAAGCACTTTATATAAAATATAAATAACTCATAAATAAATTAAATATTTTTTAAAAAAGTAAAAAATAAAGTCTAATTTATTTTGGTTTTTGTTTTTGTAGTTTTTGGTTAAAATTTTTAGTATTCAGTAAATTTTATTTTACTGAATAAAGTATTGCATTAATAAACCATAAGTTATGTGTGGTTTTGTTTTTCAACATACTATCAATTATATTAATTAAATTTAAAAAATAAGTTTATTTTGAAAAATCAACAAAAATGGCTAAATCCTAGATAAAAAATTATGACTTATGATTAGTGTTGAGTAAATTTACTATTTTTTCTGATAAATTTTAAAATTTTCTAATAATTCTCAAACTTTTTAAAAAACTTTCAAACACTAGCAATGATTGCAATTTAAACTATTGAGTGAATGAGTGAGTGAGTGAATGAGTGAGTGAGTGAGTGAGTGAGTGAGTGAGTGAGTGAGTGAGTGAGTGAGTGAGTGAGTGAGTGAGTGAGTGAGAGAGAGAGAGAGAGAGAGAGAGAGAGAGAGAGATTTAAATTAATGGTAGGAAAAGGACTACATATTTTGATGCCTGTATTGCACCGACTGATGAATCATCTTCTCCTGGTCTGCAAAACACTGATGTTGTAGTGGTAGTGATAGTACCGACACATTAGGACCCAAACCGATAGAGTAGAGATTAAGAGTAAAAGTAATGCATATATTTATACGATATATGACTGCGGATATTGATGTGTATGTGTATTTGAAATGCAATAAAAACACAGTATTTTATGCGATACACTTCAATAGAAAAGCCCATCAGTTGGTCGACCCCATCCAACTCCACAGATACCCCAAGTGTTAGACCAATATATACAGTAAAAATACTTAAGCTTTTATCGCTACCGTATTCATCACCACTTCTCTCTTTCTTTCTCTCCCCTCTCTCACACATTTTGCAATATTTATATTATCAATGCATTTAGTAATGGAGAGTTGAGTACAAAAATCTAACGGTGCTCTCACTCGCATTAAATAAAAATGTAGTGTTAATATTGTATAACCAAAAAAAACTCTGTGTTCTAACTGTTGAAATCCATAACAAACCTAATAATAAAAAGGACGGAAAGTCCAGTCCGGAACAGTTAGTTATGTATTGTTTGTCTGTCTATTGAGACTTAAAAATCTATTGCTAATCAAAATTAATGATCTCTCTCTCTCTCTCTCTCTCTCTCTCTCTCTCTCTCTCTCTCTCTCTCTCTCTCTCTCTCTCTCTCTCTCTCTAAAAGCGCTCACTTATTCACTCACTCTCTAAACTTAGTTTAATAAATACAACATTTATATCAAACCTACCAAATCCTCTCAAATTGTCAAACAGTATGTGTGATCTATGAATATATGATGGGAAAAGTCGTGGTACACACACATGGCTTATGTGTGTGTATTGGTGTCGGTGCAGAAAAATCAGATCCGATATCCTGATCCCTGACAGTCAGTACCCGTTAATGTTGTTTGATATCATTTTTAACGGTTACATTGGATTACAATTTCCGTAAAACTTGATTGTATTAAACATTTTGAATAAAACTGAATTACGATAGACAATGAAAACATGAAGTTTGTCGCCAATATGTGCAGTACTATTGTATGTGCACTTCAAGGGCAACCCTAACCTCCTTTTCCTTGTCCTACTTCACCCATACAGTAGACATACGACTGATCTGTTTGATCTCAGAAATCTATGATTTCCGTTAATATCAGATAATAATGAATACAATAACAACTCAAATGTTATTTTTGTATTAAATTTAACTCAATTTATTTTATACAGAACTCATATATACTGTAATAAAGTACTGCATATAACGTATTGTAAAACTTTATATTGAATTATATACACATATTATTATTAAATAGCTTTCAAAATTCAAATATAAAAATCTAATAAAACATTYGGTTTATTACTAAACTTAATGGGATTTTATTTTTATTAAGTTTATTATTATTATTGTGCACTTATAAAATARAGGTTGTATATTTCCATTTACAATATATATATATATATATATATATATATATATATATATATATATATTTATATAATGGTATATAAGGTACAGTATTTTGTATGATAAAACTYAAAAATAATGTCTAAATTTTTTGCACAAATAAAATAAAGCCATTATTTTCCGGTTTAAATTGATATATAAGTTTGTGTTTAGACTAATGTTTGTGATTCACATTATTTTAATACTAAATCCCTTTTTTCTTTTTTTTTGTTCATTTCATTTCATTATACTTATATAGTTATCTCTCTCTATCTCTCTTTCTTTCTCTTTGTGTGTCTATGTGTTTACTAACGGATAGTTTTGAGAGCAAAAAGCAAACATAATATGGTTTTTACTTTAGATTTTGTTTTACTTTACTCTCTCTCTCTCTCCCTATTATATTTGAATGCCTCCTATCTCTCCATTTGCTTACTAATATTAGTACACTATAGATGGTATATGGCATTAAAAATAGGGAGAGAAAAAAATAGATCGTGAGTTGAATATCAACAATCAAACATTAGTGATTGAAATGTAAAATAAAATGATAGAAATTAGTTCACCACTAAAATATATCAGTATAAATATATATATATATACCGATGCACTTGCATTAGGGATAAGCGGTGTGCAAAAAGAGAGAGAGAGAGAGAGAGAGAGAGAGAGAGAGAGAGAGAGAGAGAGAGAGAGAGAGAAAGAGAGAGAAAGAGAGAGAAAATTTCTAAAAACATTAATGAATTCCTCAAAGGATTTACTGATCAAAAAAGTTTTTTCTCTCAATTTTCCTATCATTGCTATTATTATATATAATATAAAGAAATATATATATATATATACTATATATATAAAGTTTAGTATATAAGCTTTGAAATCATGAGGAACGGGAGCTTTTCATTTGTATGATTCTCTTAATATATATACAATACAAACTCTTGCTATCCTTACTTATGCTTTTATATATTTTTTACAAGTATTTTGTAGTGTTTTTTGAGTATTGATTTTTTTATTTCACTTTTGAATAAACGGTTATATACAGTACTGTATACAGATATGACTACAAAAGTGAGTATATGTTTCACTTGGATAATATAAAAATCAGTTTTTACTTTTTAACAAAAAAAAAGTTTTTCATTACAGCGGAGAGAGTATTCAATTCAGTATTTTTTACAGTATATTAAGGACAATATAATGACATAGATTTTATGGTTTATTTTATGGTATATTTCTATTGTATATATGATTTGGATACTTATTTTACAGACTAATGACTCTCTCTCTCTCTCTCTCTCTCTCTCTCTCTCTCTCTCTCTCTCTCTCTCTCTCTCTCTCTCTCTCTCTCTCTCTCTCTCTCTCTCTCTCTCTCTCTCATTCATTCACTTACTCACTGACTCGCCCAACACTGATAAAATTACATTAATTGACATAACGTTGAGATGGAAAATAATGAGCATGGTCATTTTTCTTGTTTTATTAGTCGACAAAAATGTATGGCATGTATGCCATAGTTTGTCTCTATTAATCATAAATCAAAATGTTTTTCTCTTCTCTCTATCACTATGCCTTCAAACTCAATAAATGCATTTAGCTGTCAATAAAAAACAATTATATATTAATAGTATTTTTTGTTGTTCAGACATTATAAAAAAATAAAAGTCCATATCATCATAACTTTCCATTGACTTAGTCGTCTACTAGTTTGTTATTTTATGGTAGTGTATGTGTGTGTGTAAATCTGGTGACACCTAACATGATAGGGACGGTCATATCATACATCATTGATAGCTATATTTAAAATAATATCATTTATAATAGATATATAAAAGACATGTCTATTCACGCAAACCATATATATAAAAACTATTTCA